ATATAACAAACTTATTAGCACATCTAATGATGAAAATGAAAATAATTGATAATACACTTTTACAACTCCATTTCAATGATAAGTTATTCTTAAACTTTACTTCAAATGTCAGAAAGGCCAGCACAGCCAAACTACTGTTAATTGTCTCTGTTTTAATTACAATGTCAATCACAATAACTTTTTTCTTTAGATCCCTTCATTTCTTATTTGTACATAGTTACATGAAATCCATGCACGGCGCTACACCTGTCAATCAAAATTGTAAACTTCTGGTGCCACGGAAGCATTTCCCCTGTGGTGTAAAATATTCTTTAGGTCAATTCTAATTTTACGCTTTTATAGATACAGTGTAATATTTCGAAACAACGTTTTAATTAAGGCTGAAGATGCATGCTGTGAATTTATCAAACCTGCAGTCCTAATTGACGATCCGTTCTTACATGTATATTATAATTAATCAGAGAGTCCAGTATTTGTGACAAATTTTGATTGAGATTTCACTTTCCCTTTAGGATAAAACGATTCATTAAATAGATTATACATATGAGATGGATAGCTGCACTACATATAAATGTATACTTTTCACTTTGTAACAAGAATCTGTCATTGACAATTAAAAGTGAAGAGTTTAGGTAAAAGACTTTGACAAATGACAAGTTATTCCTTCTTAGTCACTATATAGCTTAAAGCTATATGGTCGTGCCCACCCCCACCCCCGCAATTATGTTTTTATTTTAATTTTTTTTTTTTTGGCTTAGATATAAAAAAAATTGGATTGATTGTGCCCCGTCCCAGAAAAAAATGAAATTGCGTTCTACAGGCTTAAGTCAGAACATGATTTTCATAATGATAATACATTTATCAAAATGTTTCTACCCCTACGATTCGTAGTTGTGGTTTCGAATACCACCACGTCGCCCGCGTGGCGCAGTGGTTTGAGTGTTTGCTCTAGAGTCGCGGAGTAAGGAGTTAATCTTTACGTCGTGGGTTCGACTCCCTCTGCGGGACGTGGAGACCGGTCCTTTGCATGAGACCGTATAAACCGAGGTCCCGTGTAGCAGTAGATGCTGGGACGAAAGAGATCCCTCACTGCTAAATGGCCTTGAGTGTAGAGTATAGGTCTGAATTTGTAGCCCTCCACCGGCAAGTGGTGGCGTTTCCATATGAGTGAAAAATCTCGAGAGAGACGTTAAACAACACACAAACAAACAAACTATTCCACTACGGGACGTGGAGACTGGTCCTTCGGATGAGACCGTATAAACCGAGGTCCCGTGTAGCAGTAGATGCTGGGATGAAAAAAATCCCTCACTGCTCAATGGCCTTGAGTGTCGAATTTACAGCCCTCCACAGGCAAGTGGTGGTTTTTCCATATGAGTGAAAAATCTCGACGGGGACGTTAACACACAAACAAACAAACAATTTCACTACAGAACGTGGAGTATGGTCCTTCGGATGAGGCCGTATAAACCGAGGTCCCGTTTAGCAGTAGGTGCCGGCATGAAAAAAATTCCCCACTGCTCAATGGCCTTGAGTGTCGAGTATAGGTCTGAATTTGCAGCCCTTCACTGGCAAATGCTGGCAGCTCAAGGGACGTTAAACAACAGACAGACAATCAAACAAACATTTTTGTGTCGCCTGCAGAGCAGAGCAGCACTTAGCGATCAATTTACCTGGCGTCTGTCTTGCTGTCCGTCCGTCTGTCACACCTTATATCTCGAGAAATGTAAGAGGAATGGGTTTGATAATTTACACATATAGCTTGACACTATGGCTTTTGTATTTTTCCATGGCTTCCGACCTAGATATCCTTGAACTTGACCTTTGACCTACTTTTCAAAATAACCAATAATGCCGATATACAACTTCTTTTTGATATTTATGAGGTAAGTCTATGCTATTTAGAATGTGCACTGTTTGTCATAAAACATTTTGAAAAATACCAGCGTTACAGTTCACTTGACCTTGACCTTTGACCTATTTTGTAAAATATACTGCGGAGGGTTAAATTTAACTTATGTCTTTTGAAATTACAGAGGCAGGGTTTAATAATTAACAGTTATACATGTTTATGATCTCATGACAATGTATTTTGACACTGTATGAAATAAAGAAACCACAAAAACTTAAATTTAAGTACTATGAAAATACAACGGGATCGGTATTCCAAAATGGATGGTGTAGACTGACAATTGCTGATGTGAAAGACTGAAGCCTCTTTCGAAGGATTGTTGAAATCACGTACTTAAATAATTTATATATAATTATTCATAATAAATTTATTCAAATTTCATTAATATCCATTTTAGCTTTCAGGGGTGAAGGATTTGCATTTCTATTTGATTGTTAGATTCTATCGCAGTCTTACTATCCCTGGATTGTTTTGTTTTGTTTTTTTTTTGGCATGAACTATATTCAATGCCTTAGCAAATAAATAGCTGATAACTTTTAGACTTAGTTACATCTTTAATGAAGCTAAAAGCAGGCGGCAGATGCGTTCCTAGGAACACTCTAGTTCTGTAAGAAATCAGCAAAGATAATTAAGCAGAGATTTTTGATGAATAAAATGGGGGTTTTTTTTAACCTTTTTTTATAACGCTGACTATATATACATGTATGGTCTGCGTTATAAAACATGATGTGATAGGGTAACGTAATGCACCTTGTACACGTACTCAAAGATGCCGACGTTTTTCAATATCGAAATTGGACATAAGACATATATACAATAAAATTTGAATCCAGCGAGTTAAAAGTAATAAATTACAACTATATGGAAACGAAATGAAAAAAACATGTGTAAACTTGTCAAGTTGGAAACACTCAGAATGGGTATTGTTGGTATCATACAGACTGTGTCATGGCCTTGACTCAAGTTCAACGTCACTAAGAACAAGATGCTTTTACTGGATGTGTGGTCTGAAAGAACATGTGTTAACTTGTCAAGTCGGTAACACAGATAGGTTTGCGTCATAACCAGAGTGTGTTATGCCTTGACGCAAGGTCATCTGGACAAGTTCAAGGTCACGAAATAGAAAGTGTACATTATTTTATTGTCTTTCTACTGGCGAAGCATTGCAAGTTGATAGTCCCTTAAAAGATTATTTATCACCTTAGAATATGGCATGACCTTGACTCAAGGTCACTGCTCCAACGGAAGACCTATTCGTTGCTCTGCAACGAGCTCGGCTCTAGTATTTATCAAACTCATTGCATCGAGAAAAAAAATTTTCTTTCATTCATCCGCGTAATATTCAGATTAAAGATTCCTTATATGAACTTTCTTATGTTCACTTTGCCATAGAATCTTCTAGACTCTTTGACAAAATTTAAAGTTGGTTGAATATTCATTGAAAAATAATAATTAAAAATTCAATGATTTTATGTTTTTTCCGACATTTCAATGAACATTTTAAGAAATATGAATGTTTTAATTTAAAAAAAAAGATGAATTAAGAAGTTTCGATAAATGTAATCACCGACATGGACCAAATCCGCCAAAGTGTAACCACCACTTTACTCTCATATTTGCTATTTCGTGGTAGGTTACCGAAAACGAAAGTAGATTTTTGAATAAATTCACGATAATTGCCGATCGATAGTTTACGTATGTAATGCAATGTTAAGGGTGAAAACAGTTACTCTGATGCAGGTCTTTCAGAAATTATTGGCAAAATTTATTCATTTATATGTAAAAATTGGTTGTAAAGAATGTATAAAAGTCATTAAAAAATTATTAAGCACATACTGATAGTAACATTTTGAAACTAAAAACAGAAATAGTTAGCATTGAATGAACATTTATTTGATTACTACTGGGCCTTTTATCCCTTTTTTCAGTTCAGTGAGCTACTCTCGAGTTATGCGTTTATGTAGTACACAATAAATATGCAAGACCACTGCAACATATACATGTAGTGTTCCGAAAGGGCTATTTGCAAAAGTGTAACAGCGCGCGCGCGTCAGGAACAACGCGCTAGCGCAAAGTGACAACGCGCTATAGCGTTCACAACGCACCTAACACACAACACGCCGTCACGCTAACGCAACTTTACAAAACACGCCGTAGCGCTAACACACAACACGTTGTCACGCTAACGCAGCTTTAGACAATACGCCGTCGCGCTAGTAATAAAAGTATTGCATTAATTATCACAATTTTTGATGCTAGTTTTTGATCATGTTTATAGCTAGAGCTGTCGATGTCACAAGTCTATCTGTATTTTGATTAAATTTATTATTATTTTACTCCCATAAGATGTTGAGTTTTAAAAAAATTATATTTGTTTCAAAATAAACATATCCCCCTTGTACATGTATATGTCAAGAATATTTTGCATAAAGTCACAAATATCGTACTTTTCTTTGCAAACTAGGTCTCAGTCGATTACGTAGCATATTTTAGAAATTCAAGGAACCATTTCTGAAATTCAAACGAGGACAGAAGCGTACAAAAATTATTTGTAATGTATAAATGTAAGTTTATAAACCACTGGTCCAACTTCCTGACTTTGAATTATTATATGTAAAAACACACCAACTGAAAGATTATATAATGAGTAAATTGATAACGCGTTAATGCTCAACATAAAAAACCAATGGAATTCTTTAGCGAAATAATGATTTGACACAAGGAAGAAAAAAATGCGTTGCGTATTTTGACCACTTTTGATCCAAAAATAGATTCGCCTGAAAGAATAGAAGTACCAAGAAAGGACGATCATTGTAAACTTTGTGTCAAAGAAATAAATGTCCTGGGAAAGTGTACCGATATGAAGGGTTAATCTACCATCGGTTATATTTAGAAGTCCATAAAATATTATTCCAAGATACAGTGTATGGGGAGAAGTCTTACGACCAATGTTGTTATTGGATAATAAATGGCCAGTGGTGACATTTACTTGTACTGGCCTCCTATTTAAGACAAAGAATACAAGTGGAGATAGCAGAAAGTTGGAGCTTTCAGACAAAAAAGCTGAAAGGCCAAATCATTGACAAAAATGTATAAGTTGTGCGCACTAATAGGATTACTATTTGTTATAGAAGCATGCTTGGCTCGACCAGGTTAGTATTTTCTTTTTAAAAAGGAAAACTATAAACATTCTTAGGACTGAAAATAATTTAATGTAAATATTTTGGATTTAAAAATGATTTTCGTTTACTGGAGGTTCTTCGTTAACCATGTCTTCTTCATACACAGGGTCTGCTCCTGAACGGCGTGGCCCTCCGGCCAAACGTCCACCTCCAAGACGTGGACCCCCACCTCCTGCCAGAGTTCAACCTCCTCCTCCCCCAAGAGGTAGGAGACCTCCTCCACCACCACCACCACCACCACGCAGAAGGGCACCGCCACCACCACCAGGTATATTTGAGATTTATGTTGAAAATTTCCCAGACTTCATATCGGCGTGCTCAAAATAAAATCTATCTATCTATCTATCTATCTATCTATCTATATATATTTGTAAAGTCAAATAAGTGCTCAAAATATTTTGAGAGAAGAAAAGATTGTTTAAATATGCTATGTTAATGTGCTTCTGCCTTTTGTGTGTAATTCCAATGAAAGATTCATGTCACTGAAATTGATTATTTTATAATGAGCTCTGACATTTACGTCGATAAATGAACAAGAAAAACATTTATTTTCTGTTGCGCAATTTAAAAAAAATTGCAAATGATAAACTACTTTTTTTTATTCACATGCCAATTATTTTGAGTAAAAAGAGTCTTAATAAAGTATTGTATAAGATAATGCAAAAATTATATTTAGAAAAAATTGAAAAAAATGAATTTTTTTGACCAACGCACGATAGTTATTAAATAGCTATTATTATTTTACAGTATATATTTCAAATATGTATTAAAACTAATGTCAGCAACTTTATAAAGTAGGATGCTCATAAGTAAAATAATTTATTATTGTTCTGCTATATAGTTTGAATTTGTGAATGTCATTAATGCGTGAATAATTATTCAACCTGGATTTTTTTTTTTAAATTATTTAATTATTTTTTTATAGCTTACAACTCCTACTATGACTATTATCCTACATCAGCGCCATCTTACTTTTTTGCCGACGATTGTGATTGCAATACAGGGGATTGTCCCCCGGGCACCAGATACGAGGGGTCCTGTGGAGACGACAAGAATTACTGTTGTTAATTCCATCCTTATGATATCAGGTATAGAAATTCATGATCATCACACATTTCCTGTTGTAAGGTTTAGTTTCCTAATTATAACTTTATTCCCTCCTTTTTTTTTAACTTTGAAATTCTCTTTGTTCATCGATACGGTTTACAATTTCATATGAATTTAGAAGTATATAGTATTGCTTTGAATGAATTATTTAACGAAAGGTATTTCTTTTTCTGATATTTCAGGTTCCAATAGTAAGGTCCTTAAAAACCTTTAAACCTTTTTAATCAAAAGTTGGAAAGACTGGGATGATGAAGAACACAAAAATAACAATAATACCTGCGAGCGTGAACAATCTAAGTAATATCTACATGTATTTTCCTGCTGGAGGCAGGATCTATTTTTACTTAAATTAAAACTATATTTTAAAGTCTTTGTTGTCTTTTCAAAGAATTCTCTTAATTTGATTAGCAGCTCCATCGGTTTCTCTCTCTCCATATATATATGTATATATATATATATATATATATATATATATATATATATATATATGTGTGTGTGTGTGTGTGTGTGTGTGTGTGTGTAATACATAATTTATCAGCTGATTTTCGCTCTAAATTCATTGATTGTGTTGCAATTCTAAGTATCCTTAACAGAAGCAACAATCAACATTCTTGCACACACTGAAATGTTAGATGCAACATGACAATATCGTTTTATCGTTTTATAAATTAATTTTCATAACAAGCTCATATAGTATGGCTTTAATGGTTCAAAAAAGTTCCAAGGATACAAAGAAAATCAGCAATTTGTACACTGAGGACTTATGTAAATCGCGCACTGTGGTGGAAAAATTTTCTAACATCGTGTTTAACAAAAATACATGTTCGCATTTACTATAACAACCAGAAGTATTCACTGTCCTTTAAATGCAAACTTGGGAGATTCTCATAAATTTTCCAGTTTGAAGGATTATCTCTATATAAATCTTAAACTGAACTCAACATGTCAAACAAGATATGAACTTTTTGCTTTTATTGCCTTTTTATGTTCATTTGGGGAGGGGGGGGGGGTTATACGAGAAATCTAAGTGATGAAAAATCATAAAGAAAAATGGAGTTTTATTGGTTATATTTTGGGCTAGAATTAAAGTGTGAAGACTTTGAGGATTAAATATCTACAGTTCAAATATCTTTGTTTTTCAAATTAATGTTATGATGTATTATAAACTACCAACTTATAAATTATAAGTTATGAAGATTTCTGAAATGTAAAGGTATAATGTTAATACACGTATATTTTTTCTCTTCACAAAGTCTTGCAACGTAACTTGTGCAAAAAGAATTGTAAACGTAATATCAGCAAAAAACACACAATAAATCAGAAAATAAAAAAAAAAACGGAGTGTGGAAAACCCACTTAGCGAAATCTATTTTTATGTGTCCGTGGATCGCTTGGGCGTCACGGAATAGACGGTCAGTGGTCATTAGCCTGTCGTACGACCGTCACACCTAATCGTTAACCGATTCGCACCGAACCACACAAGTGTGGAATTGAAAACAAAAGCGCCATCACGCTATGATTAGAGCTTCAACGCACTTTTTTATTACGAATTATATGACAATGTTTGTCACGGTAACACCACGTGTAGAGAGGTTCCGGTCAAATTTGATTAATATTGACCAGTTTATACACGTATATTATTACCTTGCCTATACAAATTGCTACTGGACGACCTTAATTTCTGTATAATGTAAATCATACAGGGTACCAATTTTGATGCACCAGATGCGCATTTTGTCAAATCATGTTCATGCCGAAACGTTGGAAATCCAGAATATTAAAAAAGACTTTACGTAACTGCAGCGTAAAGAAGCCCCCCCCCCCCCCCCAAAAAAAAAAACAAAGAAAGAAAGACAAATTTTTTAACCTAGAGGATTGACCCTCTTGTAATTTTTTTTAAATAACAATGAATCAGGTAAATTGATAATAAACAATTAAGAACATTTGGTTTTAAAAAACAATAATGATTGGATAATATCTATAACTTTAACAAACATGCTGCTTAACGTATTTCCATACGTATTTTTAGATTATTTGTCAATGCATTATTTGTCAATGAATTATTAATCACTGACAGATTAAATTCTTAACAGCTCTACTTACATGTATAAATGACTACGTGTAATTTTTTTGCAAATAAACTCCCAGATACATGTATGTACCAGAGTTTACACTAACTCCTCTTATATTACTACTAGATAAAATCCCGCGCACAAGCGCGGGGAATTGAATTTATACTACTACCGACAGAAAATATTTTGTAGTTGCTACTGACAGCCTACAGGCTTATAGCAGGAAGTTCAAAATCTCGCATACAGTGGCGTCTCCACCCCCACCCCACCCCCTTCGTAAAAACTTGAAAATTAACAAAAATTTTCATTAATTGACGTTTATTGTGAAACCTGTTATACTATGTTATAGATATTGTACTTCAGATGCTCTTATTGCATTTCCGTCCAGGATAAAACCAGTGAATATGCATATTTTACTGATAAATTGATTGGGGGGGGGGATAAAAATTCATAGGTACATGTACTTGGGTCTTGGTTTATAAATACATGTATGTTTGTACCTTACTGATATGTAAATAATGTACTTTACTTTTTTCATATCAATAAGGTACATACATATTTATAAACCAAGACTCAAGTACCTTTGGAAAATTAGCTTTTAACGCCCTATGAATAGGCCGAGTATTTGATACAAAAGATTCAGAAGAAGAAAAAAATGAAATGTATTGATTAAAGCGCAAAATTTTACATCTGTAATTGATTTTGAACAACACCTTATTCATTAATTTTCTCTTTACATGTAAGCAAGTTTATTACGAAGTACAAATTGTACTTCGGGTTCGTTGCCACGATGCTCTCAGTAAGGAATATATACAAATTTTACCGATAAATTTATTAGGAAAACCTATTACATACATGTATATATTTGTAATCATGGTAATAGTCTTTCGATATGTAAATATATTCACAGTTTATAGTTTTATCAATGATTTACCATTATTTCAATGACCAATCACACATTATATTGTGCAGCTATAAGCGCCTCGTTTTTTTTAAACATCGGGCTCGATGACATATGATGATCTAGAAGCTTCCGTCAATATTAAGATCGGTGAATGACGAAAATGATTTGCACATTTCCCATTTTAATCGGTTTTCACAACTTATTTCTTTTATATCATTTAAATCAAGTTTTGATTGAATAATTCAGTCATGACGTTTTATGAAATAAATAAACGATTACTTGTTGTCAGTTTCATTAAAAATTGCCAGTAACTTAGATCCGCCAACCGGAAACACCATCGTACTCACGTTTTTGCTATTTCATGGCCGTTTATAGAAAATAAAAGTAGACTTTTAATTTAATGTACGATACTCACTATGCGAGTGAAATCTAAATATAGTTAACGGACATCATCTTGTATCTAGTGTATTGTTAGAGGAGTAAGTAAGAACTCTGGTGCATCCGTTTCGGAGTTTATTTGCAAAATTTATTAATTTATAAGTATAGATTGGTACATGTATAAATAGATGTCCCTTAACTATCGCAGTTAAATGTTACTTGCGTAGTAGTACTAGTTTATTAAAAAAAATAAATTCAATAAAAAGTTAACATTCATTATCAATTAACAGCTGTGAAATAGCGAAAATACAGTTAGGTGGTAAACACAATGTGGAGAATTTTAAGTAACTAGCATTTTTATGCCACCCTTGGAAGAAGGGAGGGCATATTGCTTTGCTGCTGTCTGTCGGTCCACCAGCAGTTTCCGTTCATTTTTTTTGCAGAAGTTGCACATACTGAAATGAAATTTAGTAAACAGATTAATCATAAGAATATCTAGGTCAAGTTCTGTTTTGGGTACGATTTGAGTTATGCCCCTTGGACTGAGAAAAATTCCAATTATATGGGAGGGGGGGGGGGCATAAGTGTTTCCCAAACATCTCTTGTTTAATTTTGATTTATGTATTAAGAAAGAAGAAATGATTTGAGATTACTGAATAATAAACTTTATGTGCATATTCTTTTGTCAAGTTTTGACAGAAATTTCCAGAGCATCATGGCATAGAACCCTATGTAAAAATTACCTCTCGATTTTATCACATATGATAAAACATGAATAGTGATAAATTAAAACTCGCAGCGCAGAAGACGAAGCTGCTTTATTCACACTGTATACTAGTAAAAAAATATGCAGTAAGACATTTTTTACATTTAGAAAAATTGCAGTCAAAGATTTCAGGTTTAATCAAGTATGTGTTTAGACAAAATGAGAAATATTAGCATTGTCAGACCGTCACTGCTGTTCAGTTGTGTTTAATGCAGCATAGTAAATTAGTCCAGAAATACAGAAATTTGAAGAAATGAGATCAGGACTTTTTCCCCCCTTAGCCAACAAGGTAATTAAAATTGCGTAAAGAAATTGATAGCTGGTGCTTTTATTCTTTAAATCTGAGCCAGGTAAAAAAAGACCGTCTTTTCCTCAAACTTTTATGCAGGAGTAATTATCTTGTAACTATGAAATTCAATTAAAAAAAAAATATGGCTGACATCCGTGAAAATACTCAAAATGATTCTTTATTCCGTTTATGGTTGTTATAATGACCTTGTTAGCAGATATAACCTATCATTGGGTCGTATTTTGGTGACTTGCTTCACACAATTGTTAGGCCTTTGTTTTTGTACTGAATTGACTACGGATAGTTCCGTCTGATCAATGCATAGCGTACACAGCGGGTGTGACCGATCAACATAATAGGATGCTTACTCCTCCTAGGCACCTGATCCCACCTCTGGAATTTCCAGAGGTTCGTGTTTTATGCCCTCTTCACATATTTGTATTGTTCGTGGATAAATTGAGATCGATCACTGTCCGTTATCTTTATCTAAGGGCGATTACACGTGTAAACGGTGACTTTTCGATTAAATGCTCTAAACGTTTACAAATTGAGTAAACGTTTACACGAAGGTCATTATCAATGTCTAGCAGAAATAAAGTTTAATAAAAACAATTTGTTTTATTTCATATTTACCAAAGAAAACACACTCTTTGTCTGTTACAAACATTTTTTATGCCCCCGTATCGAAGATTCGGGGGGTATATAGTTTTTGCCCTGTCCGTCCGTCTGTCTGTCTGTCTGTCTTTTTGTCTGCAAAAACTTTAACATTGCCCATAACTTTTGATTGGTTGGAGCTATGGCTTTCATATTTCACATGTGTATTTCTTGTGACAAGACCTTTCTTTGGGTACCACAATATTTGACCTTTTGA